ACCTATAAGTCATTGAACCTGGCCAACGCAATTTGTTCTGGCCTACATTTGGCCATGGGAATGTGAAAAGCATTGTTTGAAAAAACGCACCAAAAAAAATCCCAAAACCAACCACATTATTTTGAAAAATCAATTCATTTTTTGACGTTTGAATACGGTTTAACAAATTGATGAAACATTTGTGGATGTTCCATCCACAAATGGCGGACAATGAATGAATGAAAAATTGCAACCAAAGTGGCGGTAATTAGAACAACAAATATGGCAACATTTTTTTTCGGCACAGCTTGCAATTTTGATGACAATCCATGCACTTTAAAAACTTTATGCGCATTTTGGTGTGAAGATGGCAAATGAATTGGCACATTTTTGCAAAAAAAGAAACATGGGGCGGTTTTTTCGACAAATGCATTTTTTGGATGCATCATGTATGAGTTGGGCACGGCACGCGCAAATGGGAACCCAAAATGTACCACCATGGCTTTTTTTTCAACCACTGCACATCTTTGAATAAATCGCGCACAAATTACCCAAAGTTTTCAGAACAACAACAACCAGATGGACATCAAGTATACAATTTGCGACCATATATCACCATTGCAAAAAACAAAAAAAATACCTTTTTGGTCCAAATCAAATATTTTTTTCAAAATGGATTGCCAAAATGATTGTATACATTTCATATACAAAGAAAAAACCGACTTTCTTATTTGATTTTGCAAAATGCACAATTTGCACAGCATTCAAGCTCATGCACCTTTTTCGAAAAAATGCAAAGGATGGTGTACAAAATCATTTTCCAGAAATGAACAAAACCACGTATGCGTTTTTTTGTTGTTTTCGACCCATTTTGCATCATCATGGCATATTTGGACATAATTTATGTTGAAAAAGTGCATATATATATATATACATATATATACGAGGCATATTTGCACCATTTGCGTTCATTTCCTTTTCCTGCTGTGGGGAGCTTCGAAAATCAGACCGCCAGAATGGAAACAATGATTCAAATTTTCAGATGATGTGGACAAAGCACAACTAAAGACAGACGTAGGTTTTGGACAACACAAGAATCAAACAAGGTGAAGAAATATCAGCGTGGAACCATAATCATTCCAAATTGGAATGATTTGAATGAGAAATTGATAACTTTCCAACTACGAAGCAAATGTTACGTCTTTTTTCCAGGATTTCTCAGAGATCTTTCGTCCTAGTCGCGCTTTAAACACGGCACAAAAATTTTTATTACACCTAATCTCAAAATTTTTCTGGATAAAAAATCCACTGAATCTCAAAAATGTGTTGTGCTATGGTTTGAGCTTGCAAGTTCCTTGGCAGAATTTTGTAAAAATGACGCACTGAAGCGTAAAACAAAAATGCGGTTCAAAGCAGAAAAAAGCATGGGCACATTGTGTTCTTTATTTTTGCAGATTGTGCTGTTGGATTTGACACAAATAATTCAAGTAGGAAAATCATCGGTGAAACAAAAACATGTGTCTATTTGGAAGTGGTGGCGTGGGAGTAAGCGATGGGTTGAATGCTATATGAACAATGTATGTGGTTGTACCAATTCTTGCGAACACATTTCTTCGAAAATGCAAAATTTTACGATTTTTATGTTCACATTGGTCCTTCCGGCAACATCGCACGCAACTGATACATGCCAAGAAAGGAAATGATTATTTTTTTGTCCCGGGCAAGCATTGGGCTGCCCAAGTTCACCTGGCCTACCTCATTGCGCTGCAACCAAAACCATATTCAAAAGTTTCCTGTCATGATGGATGACCGGAAAAATACCCGAATGCAAACAATTCCAAAAATCGTGATTTTTAGATGGCGGCCATCATTACCACGGATGGGGCCGCAGAAATATCTTCACCCACCATATTTGAAAGAATAAAGCACAAATTATTTCCAAAAGCTGCGCGGCAAAAGGACCTTGTCCATTGCAACCAAATCCTTGTCCCTGTAAAGAATACATCCCAAAAATATCAGAACAATGAAAATTGTTTCAAATTATGTTCGAAAACCTTGCAAGTGCGAGAGGAAGAAGGCCTTTGTGCATCATTGGAACCCAACCCCTTGCGGTCCACAAACAAAGATTTAAGAAAAATATTTTTTTTCCAAAAAATCTAAATGCTGATAATAAGATTATATATATTTGGATGAAAATACACTTGAATAATCAATTTTTCGTTTTTCATTGATAAAATTGAAAAAAACTTTCTCATTCATTTTTGATTATTTTGAAGTTTATAATCGACCGTCCTAATAAAAATTTTCAATTTCAATTGTATTTCATAAGTCAGTAAATCGAAATATATTGGTGGGTGATCTAAAATAAATATCTTTTATTTTTTTGGCTTCATTATATTAATTATTTATTTTATCAAGAAAAGAAAACGTTTTTGACTTTTTGCTTGAATTTAAAAGAAAATATTATCGATACAAAAAAAAATTCCGGAAATATATTATTATTGAATATTCGTGGGAAGATAACGTCATTTAGAAGAATGCAAATATTCCAAAATATTCATTTGGTATTTATTTCTTTCTCGCTATCTAGTTATTTATCGTGAATGATCTTTGTCGCGTTATTCATTTTTGATTGTTTTAAAACGGGCGTTAAAAAGATTAATCTGAGAAGAATCATGTAAATCTTCATGAAGATTTCGGAATGATTTTTTGCGTAAAAAAATAATACGCATTGAATTGAGGCTGCTTTCTATTTTTGAATGAATATATAAAAATCTATGGAATCTCGTAATTATGCTTTCAAATAAATGAAAAATTAATGATTTTTTGAATATTTTGAATTTTTCACTCTTTAAGAATTTTTGAATCATTTTTATTGGATAGCTTTTCTCAAAAGTAATATTTAATATTAAAATTTTTGAATATGTCATTCGAAATGAAAAATGATTACCATTCTTTCTCCTCCCTCTCCGTGTCTAATTTTGAAATTTTTATGGCTTTGCTTGAAAATTCCAATATGATAATGGCCATTATTCGCCATAGATCAGAGAATGCGGATTATATTACGTGAATCGCCGTCTTTGTCGTTTTTTTTCCGTCTGTCTCATTTCAATCTTTAGAATCAATATTTAGGAATATTCTGAATATCGTTTTGAAGACAAAAAATCTTCCCATCAAGACGTGCGTATATATTCATAAATATATCTGATAAGTTTCTCCTACTTTTATATTTATAAATTGAAATAGCGAGACAAAATCTTTATAATACGCGTTCAAAAAAATTGCAAAATTCAAAAATAGATTTCATAATATTTAGCTTCTAATGAAATCGATGGCTTACTCGCGAAATTTTCCGCGCTTATTGTATCTGCAGACGGATTCGAGAATATGAACGACTTAGTCCGCACCTGCTATGCCCGCTATTTCTCCGTATATTCACCACGAATATCTTGACCAAGCATCCCGAAGATTAAAAAAAAAAAAATGCCGCAAGCAATACAACATTTTCATTACGTATTTGAGGCCCCAAATCAGCAAAAAGATGATACTTGGGGAATATAAGAGTAATGAATATTTCGTGAAGGGAGAGGGGACTTTCCTGCGCCGTTCGGCGGGGGATTGCTGCCATTCGCGGTCCTCAAAACAAATTCAGAGTCCTCCCGCTATTCATGCAAGCTTGCAGCCGCTGCTGCTATAACCATGCGACTGACGATTGACCAGTTCTCCCAAAAAATGAAGGTCGATATGAGCCCCTAGCGGGTCTCCTACAGCGACTTCTAGCACCTCCCAGAATCGGAGCATAAAGCTCATATTCCAAATCTCCAACCTTACCATCCGAAGCCAGCATGCGACGATTGTCCGAAATATCTTAGATATGATATTTAAAGATATATTATCCAAAGAAATGCATAGACGAGTAGGCGCTCAAGATTGCAGCTTCAGATTGCGGCAGTGCACATGTTTTGCTCATTCGTAGTGTGACGTCCGTATGAAAGAACCTCCGCCCATTCCAATCTCAAATGCTGCCTGTAAAAACTGAAATATGCAACATGCATAATCTTCGGTGTGCAATATTGCCGGCCTGGCTTGCTTGCCTAGCTCCACATCAGGATAATTCTGTTTGCAGGACCTGTCGGCAGAGCCTCGTCGTCTAACGGGTCTTCCACCTACCATGAACCAACTGCACATCCTAAAGTCCATCCTCCCGAGAAATGCGCGCGCTCTGCCTGGGCAAAATGAACGCAGAAACAGCTGAAATGCTCTGTTGCATGCATGGGGCGTGGATGTTGGGAGAGGGATCGTGGGGAATGTGGAGATGCCGGCCCTCCCAGGCACAGCTCGCGGGTTCGTGCACAAGTGCAAAATATCCTCAGATTTGCACCGGCTCTCCAACAGTGAAATCCTCCTTCCAAACTCTCCACCGTCAAGCAATGTGAGGGGCTACAGTCAAAAAACACCTGCTGAACAACCCTCTTGAACATTGCTGTTGTGAGTCTTGGTGACCAGGCAGGTGGCGCAGCAAAAAATCTAATGTATCTGACCGTGTGACTTTGCGATAATTGTTTTTGAAACCTAAACGCACACATGCCATCAGACCCGTTGCTGTGACAAGAGCCCTGAGCCCATTGATATGACAACGCATATGACTGGACCGAGGGGAATGTGAGGTGCCTTTTCCAACCCAGTGGCTTCCTGAACAGTGGCCACCGCTGCAAATTTCCCTCGTCTACATCCAGTCCCCTTGAACCCCAAACCTCATGTTTACGGTGTGTTGAGCACATCAATGCTTGGGTCTTGGCAGCTTGCTATTTTCCTGGCAAACATGCTTCATGTATCCACACCGCCTCAAGACTTGCAAAGTCTTGCCTTTAAGGCAGCATGGGGTGGGCAAATGCAGCCAGGCTTATTTGAAGAAATGCAGCCCTCTGTACAACTGGCGGCTGGCAACATGCACTGGGCTCCTTCGAACTCACTGAGCTTGAGCTGTACAAAGCATCGGATCAAAGTCCACCTTCGTCCTACTACTGCGCGAAGAGTCGATCGATGGCTGTGGCCAGAGCCTGCAGCACAGCGCAAGCCACAATGACGAGATCTTGTGAGGCGGCCGTGAAGCTGGGACACACAACTCGATACATCACATGAAAACACTGAGACGAGAATGAGATTGAAGGATGTTCAACTTTCTGGGATTCTAGCATTTTGGAATTTGTCAGGGGCACACGATTTGTGGAAACTCCCACCTTGAGAGACCTATGAGCGCCTGTTGAGCTACATCCCTGGAAGGTAGTTGCCACAGGCCTTCCGAGGACCGAGCAGCTTCACATCCAGGATGTCCTGTCTTGTCAAGTATTCTTCTCAATTTGAAAGTGTCAAGTGGCACTTCAAAAAATCGGGTGATAATCTTAAACCCTAAAACAATATGGCTGTAAGTCAACACCTGATCCCAAGGGCATTCTGTGCTCCTGTGCAAGAGCTGACCGTGCAAAAGCTGAGGCCACGAAAGTCTGAACTTCCTGTCCTTGAGATCCTGCACGGTCATACCCTCAAGCTTCTGCCTGGATGGGCGTGCAGGTTGCAATGGCACATTAGCCAACCAGGCTCTTGGCTTCAGTCTGGCAAGTGCCCTGACAAGCCACCAAAGGACCAAACCACCTCTTAACCAATCGAAAGACAAGATGATGGTATCTTGATTGAAGGATTGAACACTATAGGCAGCTTCTGCGGCAATAAATCCGTGAGAAAGGCAACGTTTTGGGATGTAGG